ACAAGGAGCAATTGACAAAGACGATATAGACAATAAGCACGAATATAAATGAACGCCAATGACAAACGTAAACAAACAATATGATCACGGAGTTCGGTCCCCACGACCTACGTCTCCGCTCCTCACCTCGAGAAGATCTCCATTATCACACCGGGTTTTTTACGCTTACCCGAAAAATGTTTACACCTCACAATGTCGGTTTTTAACGCTCACTGATCAACATTCACAATCACTCACAATGTAACTATATTAACTACCACCTCAAGTATTGGCCTTTAGCCTGTGTTTCACTCAAGTGTTAGGAATTATAACCTCTCTCTAGGCATTACCACCTACCCCACTCCTCTTGGGACGACCCCGTCTCTCACTACACAGTCCTCTTGGTGTACTAGTGTATTACAAAGTGCCTCACAATTATAGCTCACAACAAATGATTTGTTCTCTAATACAAGGCGAGAACTCAATTAAGCACAACTCAAAGTTATAATCTCTCACAACCCTAATTATACTATGTATGAAAATACTAAAAGCTCAAGTGGGTGTGTGTAACAATGAGATTTAATAAAACGAACTAAACTCAAATAAATCTAGCTTTAAGAAAATGAAAAAACAAACAAATAAGTAGCTAGATAAGAGTTTAGAAAAACTTCTCTATAGATCAAGAGAGAGAGAGAGGGAGAAGAGTTGGATGCTCAAACACAATTGATGATCTTCCTCAAGCTCTTGTGAAAATTACTTCACAAACAAAACTCTTAAACACTCTTTTAAACAAACACAAAACACCCTTAAACTTATTTTAAACAATTCTCTTAACTAAATAAAACTGATGATATGTGGGGGTATTTATAGGAACCCCAAAGCCAAGAGAAAACAAGGTAAAAAGACCAAAAACCCAAATCTGTAAAAGGTTAAAAAATTTAGCCGTTACAGTATCAGTCGACTGATGGGTTTCATCAGTCGACTGATGAGCTGACCGTTAGAGGCGTTTTCCAGCTCATTAGTCGACTGACGGACCTTATCAGTCGGCTGATGACCTCATCAGACCTAAACAAAACAGAAACTTTTTAGCAACTGCAGGCACTTTCATTAATCGACTGATCAATCGACTGATTGCATCAGTTGACTGAGCAGTCGACTGATAACAAGTATACAACCTGTTTAAAGTAGAAATCTGATTTTTAAACAACTTTTAAAATAGCAAACAAATTCAGAAAAATATAAAACTTTGGGAAATAATTGTAGACATGATAATACACATGCTACAAAAACTTGTTTTCAAAAAGCACCTCCCAAATGTGAAAACTCTTCATTTTTCAAAATAGTCCAAAACATGAAAATGAAACACACTTGTTTTGACATTTTGACTAAACCATGTTTTAAAACTTCATAAACTAATTTTATAGACTTGATAAAAGATATAAACTATTTTTGTTAAGTCTATAAACCAATATATATATATATATATATATATAACTATATACATATATATAAAAACCAAAACGTGTATGTGTGTGTATGATTGAGCTTAAAGTACTAACACACATAATATAAAAACATAAACTGAATATACCCAAGCTTGTGATCTTCAATGAAACTCTTATTGATAAACTTACGGATGAAGCTTGAACTTGAATCTTTAACTTGAATTATATTGCTTCACTCCACTATTCCGCCAAGCTCCATTAGATATTATTGTTGAAGCTCAATTCCATACATCCTCTAACTTATTATTTGCTTAGAATAGATACAAAACACAAATACTAGACAAACAATATTAGATGTAAATTGTTTGTAAATCATCATCAAAACAAAAGGACCCAACAGAGTGTGCTCGTAGCGAGTCGTCTTCGACAAGAGGACCGACAAGTATCACCCTTCGAGTCGACATAAGGGGATGTCGACTCAGCAGGTCAGCTAAGTCGAGATCCTTAGCAGTTTTGGTCGTCAATTTGATTGGAGCATTGCATGTAGAAGTACACATGTCTGTTGCTGGCAAAAGGGTTGTACTTTGGCGATTGAGAACACTATAACAGTTGATTTCTTTCACTTGGAGTCGGCTTGAGCCGGGTCCGAGTGAAATGAAGGCAGCTTTGGATGGACGTGGGTGCTCATTAAATGAGGAAACTGAAAAGTCTTTTCAGATTTTACGTGGCTGACGTTACTACACATTCTTTTTGACTACCACGCTCTGCTTTTCTTGGCAGATTGCGAGCTATTCGAGGTTAGTGGGCTGCGCCTCAATCTCTGAGATGCCTCTTCGTTTTCTGATAATTAATCTTGGCCCTTGGACAAAGCTTGATCCGGCCGTTCAAATTTCGACAGTTGCGGAATCAGCTACCTATATATAGAAACAGGGCCATAGAGATGTCAGTTATTGTCTTTTGAAATTCCCTTTAGAGAACTCAAGATCTCTCCTACTCATCTCTTTCCAACGATAATTTATCCTTTTACGATTGCATTAGATCCTATAAACCGACGAGCTCTTCTAGCGGAGATCCATTCTAAGGTAACCCAGGCACATAAGAGAACGGCCCACAGGAGGTTTGATATCCCCGGGAGTATGATCTGATGGCCCCGACGAGATCGAAGGCCATATATGATCAATATTATATTATTTCAAACTATAGTATTATATTATATTACATCATAATATTTTATTAATATTAGTAATTATTATATTATACGAACAATATATTTAATATATTATCTAATTTAATATATCAGAATAGAGGCATAGGTTAAAATATACTACATACAATATCATAATATTTTTTTATTCAATATAATATTATTTAAAATACTATATTATAATTAAAATATAGTATAATATTATATGACAATTACTATGACATATAAAAAATATCTAAAAAGTATTATATTATAGTATACTAATATATTTTATTAATATAATATAATATATGTTGATGGCTATGATCACACGGTCAGTCAGATCCAGGATAGGATCGGTTTCGTTCACGCCCTCAACGGGATGAGGTAGGGGAGATTGATGAAGGGACCCCTTCCTTCTCCGACTTTATGTCTAGTTCTTGAACTGGGTAGCTGAAAAATATGCACAAATAAAAGCTCGTGAGAGGGCGTGGACATTCCCCTATGGTTCCTCCGACGATCAAGTCAGCTGATGAGCTTGAGTGGGGAAAGTGAAGAACTGTGTGAGTTCTTGTAATTGTGCAGTGTATGCGTAAGAGGATTAGATTTGCCCCCCTATATTAGAATATTACCTATATTTATACTTGGTGCATAAGAGGTAGATTGGTCACTTCGTTCAAGCACAGAAAGGTGGTGACAAAGTGTGGGCTGACAGCTGAGTCAGCCTCCGCTTTACAAATGTCGACTGCCGACTGAGGGAGAAGTCACTTCGACATGGGAGAGGATGTCTCCGCATTATCCGGGAAGTGATTGATGGCGTAGCAGAGCCCGTATGGTGTGACAAGTCATGCAAGCTTTCAAGGCTAGGGTCATTATGATGAGACCTGTCCAATGTGGATTGCGTTGCTGGCATACAGCATAAGCTCGAAGCGGGTTTTATAATTTAGCCGAGAGGTAGTGTCTTTCTAGTCGTTCTTGCGAGGCGTCGGACAGTCGAGTGGACTCTTGGCGAGTTGACATGGACAAGAAGGTCGACTGATTCCGCCTCTCGAGTCGACATGGAAAATGCTGAGTTCACGACGAGTTGGCTAAATTGTGACTTCTGCAGGGCTTGGGCCGCCAAGTTGATTGGGGCCTTGCTTGCAGAGGAATGACTGTCCGTCACTTGTCAATGAATTGTATTTTAGCGAGTGGGAATACCATAACAATATAGTATAATCACATGACATGATTTATATTATATTATATTTTATAATTAAATGTAATATACTAACATATTCATTAAGTTTAATATGTTATATTATATTATACTATATTATTATATTGATTTAATATAATACACAATAATATAATTACTATAATAAAATATTAACTATAATTAATATAATATATTAAATAATAATATATATTATTAAAATATTATATAATATTATAACTATTACATGATAGTATAATATAATATATTGAATATATTATTACTTTATATTCTATATATCATGTTATATATTTATAATATAATTAGCATGTATTAGTTAAGTAATACAAAAAGGTTTCAAAATTATCCGCATTGCCTTCAAAGTCGAACATAATTGTTCCAATATGGAGGATGAGACAGATTTTTACTATTGGGACAAAATATTTGTATATGAGTGAGATAGTTTTATTTAAAGAGGTGAAATTATCTCACTAGTGTTCCAATAAATTAATAATACTAAAAGATAATATCCTTATTTTATTATCCTAATGAATAACATTATGAAATAGAATCCTAAAAATATCTCATTGGCACTGTTTGGCAACAAGAGATTGTGTCTTATCTAAGAGATCGTGTCTTAATGACTAAGTCAATAAGCTAGTAGAGCTGTTTGGTGACAAAAAATAGGAGGAGATTATTTTGGAGATTGTGTCTTTTGCAAGTAGCTTTTGGAAAGCTACATCGAGTAGCGTTTGTCTTTGGGAAGGAGCTGCCAAATTTTTTTCTTTCGTTTTTGCCCCTAATAATTCTAATTTTATATCAACAATATTACATGCCCTTTTTTAGTCGTTTAACAAATTTAATCTAGTTGTACAATTACGTTTGCCAAACAGCTCTAGTCAATCAGCTAGCTACACAGCTATCAGCTTTCAGCTACAATTTTATAGCTTTCAGCTAGCTTAACAATTTTCAGCTATAATCTCGCAGCTTTCAGCTAGTTTTGCCAAACAGAGCCATTATCCACCCAAATCTCTCATTGGATAACCTCCCTTAATTGAAATGACCATCATATCCCAATGCTACTAGTTGACATGACGGGATCCGACATGGCACGTGCTCCAAAAAATACCAAATTTGAAGCCGGTCCACTTTTATATAAAAAAAATCCATCATCCAACCCTTATCGGGTCGGGTTGAAGAATAGTTCCCTCTTGACGGGCGGCGTCAATTTTCGAGCACTCAACCCATCTCTAGAAGGAAGCCAGGGTTTTGGAAGGGGGTTTCATCCTAAAACCCCTAATCTCTGAATTGGCCTGAAATCAATAGATAAAATTTGCGAGTTTGAGTTTTCATTCTCTAGTTGAATCCCAATGTTGAAGGTTCTTTCGTCTTCGGTCTTACTTCGGAGAAAATTACAGAATCTACCCTCCAGAATTCCCTCAAATCGAGATTTTAGAAGCCCATTGCTTCGATTCTTCGAGTCCTCGAAGTTAACAAACGGTAATAATCTGGTCCAATTCGGAAAGGCATGGTTTTGTTCGGATTCTAGTGATGGTTCAGTCAAAATTGTCGAAATAAAGGCGGCCGAGGACGCTGCTGAAGGCGATGGAGCCGAGGAGGCCGATTCAAAGTCAAATTCCGCGATCGTATCGACGAACCCTAGACCCGAGGATCATTTGACGGTCAGATTTGTTGACAAGATTGCATTTTGGGTTTTTTTGGGGGTTGGAATATGTGAAAGTAAGCAAATTTATGTTCTTTTTAAAGTCTTATTAACTCCTTTATTTTTCCCATTTTGTTTAAGCAGGTTGTCGCATTACCGTTGCCGCATCGACCATTGTTTCCCGGTTTTTACATGCCTATCTCTGTAAGGGTATGTGGGAATCTGAAACTTTATATTGATATCACACAATAAATTAGAATAGCAAAGATTTCAATGTGATATATTTTGATTCTAGAGGGAACTCTGTGATCAAGTAACGGTTAATGGTTATCTTGTTTATTGCTTGCATATTTTCACTTAATGTCATTGCCTATAAGTTTTTAAATAGCAGTTTAGTTTCAAATTTTCTTGCTGTGTACGTTCAATTGATTATCTGACAGCACCTACTAATTGTAGAATCATTATGGTTACTGTTTGCTAAACATAATTGCGATAATGATGAAATTAATTAGTCACATACTGATTACATGTGTACTGCATCACAGTCTATGATCTGAGCGTTATGTGGTTATAAGTCTGTCATAGAATGGATGTAATGGGGCATATTATAGAGGTGCAATTGATCCCGCTAGAACAATTTGCTAGTCAAAGAGCAGTTTAAGCAGACAAGTTGGTCATATACTCCTATGGACATCAACATAGAGTTTTCTTGATTATACGATATATATGCCCCTATTGTCATGTGAAGCAATAGCAAATGTGGTCTTCGAGATCATGTTAATTGTAGAGTAGTCTGTTACTAGTGGTGTGAAGTAGACTTGACAATCATTTTTCTTGTTTCTATAGCAGTTTCGGATTGGCTCACCTCTAAACAAGCATATAATGGTTGTTATCTAATAAATTGTTAATGCATTTTTTATACACTTGTAAATTCCAGTTTTGACATTTCATTTCCAAATATTATATATAGTAAACTTTTGAACCGCCATAGGATTGATGATTGTATGTTTGGGACTGGGTGTGTGGTTCACATATGATGAGATGTTAAAATTGGAAACACATGGTAAAACAAAATGCTATTTTTGTAGGGAAGGATGTGGATTTAAGCACATTAGTGTTAAAGGTGATAGGTGAATGAAAAACGTTACGCTAGTGTTAAAGGTGATAGGTGCATGAAAAACGTTTATTTAAAGGTTTTTCTTCTAAATGGTTATATAGATACAGTGAATTGTAAGTCTGTAATTGATATTACAGTAAACAGGGGAAGTGGCAGGTTGTTTCAGCTTTACAGAAGTCCTGTTTGATTGTTCCGGGCGATTGAAGTGAACGATAGTGCATGAAGACATTAATTTGATGTTCTTCAGTAAACGCTTTCATGAAATTTGATGATATTGCAAATATACTGAGATAGATGTTTAAGAGTACCAAAAATAGGCTTACATGTTGTATAAGTAAATGCAGGCACTACAAATAACTAAATAAAGTTTCATTCGTTGCAAGAAAGAAGTCTACGATCTTTGTAAGAACGAAGAAATCATGGTGATGGGTAAAAGGTCAAGGATTCTGCTAAGAATTCCCATGAAAACTGTGTAGAAGATCTGAGAACAAACCTATGAAAAGTTAAAAGAACTTAATGTATATTTGCGTAGTGAAGTTTTGGCTGCCATATGAGCTGTAGATTTGTTGACTGTCATAGTTACCATGCCTCTTGTGCCATATAGAGGACTGCAAAACTCTATTTACTAACTTCTAAGTCCTGTGATTTGTAATATTCTTCATTGTGAAGGATCTTTGTCGTTTGAGCTTTGTTGCATATGTAAACTGCGCAATAAAAAGTGGGAGGCTTTCCTAACTTGGGCTTATAGGTTCTTTGTGCATGGCCCTCTCTTTCCACAGTTTCTGTAGCTAATAATTTTGACATCTCGCTAGCATGTAGTTAAGTCTGAACAGTCTTCTTTTGGAGCTTTAATCACATTCTGATGGGTAAAGGCTTAGATAGTGATGAGGTTTAGCATATTGTGGTCACCTAGTAGGCAAATCAGATGCTTATAGGTATTTGAATTTGTAAATGAAATTTCTTAATTCAATACTTAGCAGCTACTTTCACCCGTTAAAACATTTTATATACATGCCTTTTAGCTTTCCTATGGGTAATTCCACCTTGCAGATGATTACTTATGTTTTCATTATAATTGGATTCTTCTATTTTTGCATTATGCTTCAAATCAATTCGGGATTCCTAGGGGTTTATTATCCTACTTCCGCTGTGGATTGGTTTTGGCGCAATGTTGTACAAATATGAGAATATATATATGAACAACATGGGGGAAAAACACAATGCACAAAGAAAAAAAAATACATGTGTAGTTTTGTCATTGTAGTAAGTATAATTTTTTGGTTATGAACTTTTAGTATATTGCATAGCATAGCAGCAGCGGTGAACCCTCTATCCCTGATTGTTGGTTGCATGAGTTTCTTTGTTCTTCAGCTTTAATTAAAATCATTTTTTCTTAATTTTATTTAGTCTGGACCCAGTGAACAACAACTTTGTCTCAAATCATAGGGTCAGCTACATGAATCCCTATTCCATATTTATATTCTAACAACCCAAATGGATTACTTTTTTCGCCACAATAAGACTGATAAAAATATGTTTTTTTAAAACAAATGAATGCAACTACATGCACATTAATGGACCTACTTTCACATTAATTACACACAACATATTATCTTAACTCCTGATTTAAGTCTACTTGCAGGATCCCAAATTGCTAGCGGCTTTAGTTGAAAACCGTAAAAGATCAGTTGCATATGCTGGTGCATTTCTTCTGAAGGATGAGCCAGGAGTTGATCCCAGTCTTCCATCTGGTTCAGAAACAGAAAAAAGTATTTATGATCTGAAAGGAAAAGAATTATTCAAACGCCTTCATGAAGTTGGGACCCTGGCACAGGTATATTATTTCTTTTATACGCGAGTGTATATCAGTTAAACTTCTTATTTTCTCATATGTTTTTTGCCTTGTGCTTCTCTGAAAAGGTAAGCAGCATACATGGGGAGCAGGTAGTGCTCATAGGTCATCGACGTCTGAGGATAACTGAGATGGTATGCCTAATTTTATAAATAGCAAAAAACTAAACTTTCTTTTTCTTCTATTTTGAATGTTTTATTTCTTTGGGGTGTAAGACTAACTGTCCTTTGCTTTATGAAATCCCAATTGCACAGGTCGAAGAGGATCCACTTACCGTAAAAGTTGATCATCTGAAGGCATGTTATTTATATCTTTCTTATCATCTTTCCAGTACAACATGTAAATGAACCATTATTTTCATGTCCTTCTGTAATGTGGATAAGTTACATTTTTGGATGCAAATCTTTCATATAACTGATTTTAAACAGGGTCCCCTTCGTTCCTCTTCCTCATATCATTTGTATCATATGTTCATTTCTTAGGCTAAAATTTGGTTAGTTCATCATGCTATATAATTTAGGTTTTCTGGTGAGTTCGATTGAAGTTACTCTCACATGATGAAAGTCCAGAGCATCATTGCATTTGATAGAAAAGCTGAAGTTTGTTACTAGGACACGTAATTTTCTAGCTTGAAAAGGTTGCATGTCAAAGTGCTCAAAAAAAGAACTTTTGAAGAGATTAGGGCTCAACTCTATTTAATTATTACATAGTTTTTTTGGTTTATATTTTATCTGCTTCTCATTAAGATATAAATTTCAGCTTTTTCACTGTAATATGCCTTGCAGGATTTGCCTTTTGATAAGGATGATGATGTTATAAAAGCAACTTCATTTGAAGTTATATCAACATTGAGAGATGTTCTTAAGATAAATCCCTTGTGGAAAGATCATGTTGCCACATATACTCAGGTATTTACTTTCATCATTGAGTCTTGGAAATCCCCACTGCGAAGAAATAGCAATTAGTTTGATTCTGTTGATTGATTTCAGCTGTATCTCTATCCCTTTGAATCTGCAATACCATGATTATTCAATTTCTGAATGCTTAATATCTATTGAGATGTAACTTGATAACATAATCACATTGTTCATAAGCCATGCTGATTGCTAGAAATTAGTGATATTGCCTCGTTATTGATGAGAGATCATGGCTGTTCCCATTTTCACTTTCTGCCTGATGAATTACTTAATAGTTTGGAAAATCTTTTTTGCAACTTGCTTCGAAACTTTTTGAAGGGTAAACACTTCAAAACTCAAAAGTGAAGCTATTTATCCCTTGAAGCTTACGCGCATCACTTAAAGCATAACTAAAGTGTGCGCTTTGCGCTTTATAAAGCGTTTCTCTTTTGAAGGGCACACTTTAGACAAGATAAGAGCATATAAAAGGATTTTTGACTAACATTAAAGTGCCCTATGTATCTTCAGTATGACCATATGAGTATAAATAAGATACATATGTTGTGCATGTAGCTTAGTTTATTCTGATTTGCGCCTATACTTAACATATTTATTTCTTATTTATTAATCAAGACATGCATGTATCTTTATAAATTATTATTCCACTATATATTATATGTTCATAATTTTACAGATTTTAAAATTAAAATGCTTAAGCTCATGAGGCCTAACGTATCTATTTATAAATTATTATCCTCACGCTTTGAAACATACGCCTCGCTTCATTAAAGGGTCTAATGTATTGCCTCGCGCTTTCGCTTTTTTAAACATTGCTAGTTTATAAAGTATTCATTTTCAAATTTGGATAGTTGATAGAGATCATCACTGTTTAATATAATAACTAGACTGATATATATTGTCAACTGATGCTTCCTGGCCCTTAATTTTCAGCATATTGGTGACTTTAATTTCCCAAGGATAGCAGATTTTGGAGCTGCAATATGTGGGGCCAACAAGATACTTTGTCAGAAAGTGCTTGAAGAACTAGATGTAAGAAACATTATTGTCATGCAGGACTTTTTTTCTAGTTACATGCTGATTCACAGCTATATTTGTGTACAAGGTTCGATGGTTCTTTCATGCTTTGTTATGTGTCTCCATAATGGTCACTTATGCTAATAAGAACCTGTTGTTCTAAATTGGAATGGAGGATTTGTTTCTCAAGTTACCTGCTGGTCATTGTTAATACTATGTGATCTGCACTATCGCATTTCCTTTATATAACATATGAACTACTGTCATCTTAATGAAGCACAAGATTAAAGTACCGCACCAAGTTATCAAGATATGCAATTCATGTTTATATGGCTATGATATTAGTGTAAGTCAGAAGATAATGAGAAAATGTAAAAGGGGAAGAAATAAGAATACATTCATTATATATATACATATATACATACATATGTATATATATATATATATATATATATATATATATATATATACACACACA